AGAAGAAGAAGAAGAAGAAGAAGAAGAAGAAGAAGAAGAAGAAGAAGAAGAAGAAGAAGAAGAAGAAGAAGAAGAAGAAAAAGAAGAAAGGTGAGGAGGGGGGCGGGGGAGGGAGGGCGTCATGCTGTTGTATAATCTCAGTTTTTATCCATATTTCTTAGCCCCTGAGAATACTTCTCAAGGCAGAAGAGCCGATTCCTGAGCACACATACATATTAACTTTGCGGTTCCCTTGAATATCGCTCAAATGTTAACAATTAGAGGCGTGAGAACGAGTTTGCTGGCGAAAAGGAAGACATGAAAGCAAATTAATGACAGTCTGGCGCTAAGTAGACTCTCTTCAACTAGGGCATCATTTCTTGTTCATGAACTTCTGACCATAAAGGCTTTCGTAGTGGTCCTGTTGTTGAATGCTATTGTTACCATATTTGTTGATGTTGCTGTTGTTATTGTGGTTGTTGTTGTTGTTGTTGGTGGTGGTAGTGGTGTTGTTGTTGTTAAGGTTGTTGTTGTTGTTGTTGCTGTTGTTATCTATTTTTGTAACCTCAAGAACTGGTAATTTTTTGTTGTTTGTATTTTTACTTATTAATCCTGTCTTTTAACTCCCTGATTTTTTTCTCACGGTGTTGTTGTTGATGTTGATATCATTATTATTATTATTATTATTATTATTATTATTATTATTATTATTATTATTATTGTTGTTGTTGTTGTTACTGTTATCTAATGTTGTTGTTGTTTTCTTCTTTGCCTATCAATTACTTGATACAGTGTTTGTATTTCCAGTTGTTTCTGTGTTTATACGATAAAAAATAAACGTGATTAAAAATTCGAGGAAACGGTTAGAGCGAAAAAGGGAGCGTCAGTTTGATGCATCAAGACATAGATCTAACTGAATCCTTCGGGGTGTTCTAAACATTGTTATCTGTGCGGACCCTTCGTTTTGTAAGGCATAGATAGATCTGGCAGAATTACTGCAAACTGTTACCTCTCTTTTACGATAAACTGAACGAGTTCGTCAAGTGTAAAAGCTCTACATTTAAAGCAAACAAATCATATGAGACGAATGAAAAGTTTATGTTTTATTTTTGTTTACGTTTTTTTTCTGTTCTTGTTTTTCAATTTTGATTCTAAATTTGTATTTTTAAAAAACAAAACAGAACCTCTCTTTGTGCGTATACAATCAACTTTCGGTTGAAAACCTGGGTCATGTCCACTGTCACATATTTTGTCGAATTTAATTACACACACACACACACACACACACACACACACACACACACACACACACACA